TCCTCCTCCTCCTCCTCCTCCTCCTCCTCCTCCTCCTCCTCCTCCTCTCTCCCCCTCCCCTCCTCCTCTCCCCCCCTCCTCCTCCTCCTCCTCCTCCTCCTCCTCCTCCTCCTCCTCCTCCTCCTACTCCTCCTCCTCCTCCTCTCCTCCTCCTCCCTCCTCCTCCTCCTCCCCCTCCTCCCCCTCCTCCTCTCCTCCTCCTCCTCCTCCTCTCCTCCTCTCCCTCTCCCTCCTCTCCTCCTCTCCTCCTCCTCCTCCTCCTCCTCCTCCTCCCCCCTCCTCCCCCCTCCCCTCCCCCTCCTCCTCCTCCTCCTCCTCCTCCCCCTCCTTCCCCTCCTCCTCCGCCTTCTCCTCCTCCTCCTCCTCCTTCTCCTCCTCCTCCTCCTCCTCCTGCTGTGGCCGTAGGCCTAATCTGGAGGGCTCCGCCACGGGGCCACTGGCTCAACGGCTGTGTGCCAGGCCCACACCAGGGATGGAGCTTTCTATCGTCCTGGCGTTCGTTACACCAGGGGTCGTATTGCCGAGTCGTCCTGGCGTCGCCTTGTTGTTGACTTTGTGTGCGCACGGGTCCGAGCGCTTCTGCACGGGTGTCAGGCACCCCAGTTGTGGGGGAAGGTGCGCCGCACGCGTGTTGTGACATGTTCCTGGGCTAGGCACGGGGGTGTTCTCGGCCTTGACCGTTGCTTTGCTCAGGTTCTCCGATGTTTACTCCTCCCAGGCTTTGGCTGGGATACTTGCTCATCGTCCTGGCGTTCGTTACACCACGGGTGAGTGTTTGTCTCGGTCTTGTGTCGCCCGTCTGCATTTGAGAGTGTTGTGTGTGTGTGTGTGTGTGTGTGTGTGTGTGGCTGTGTGTGTGTCCTGCACGTGTGTCCGGCGCCCCACTGTGGGGGACGGTGCGCTGCACGTGGGTCGACGAAGGTGCAGGTTGCGCTGCCTGCCTGAACCCGAGCCTTTGGGTTTCATCCAGCAGTAGTGTACCCTTTGCCCCGACCTTTTGTTTTCATCGGGCAGGTGGGCCCCTGTGCACGGCTGGGGTGGTCCTCGCGGGCCCCTGGTGACCGTTGCGCGGGTGATGCCTGTGGGAGCTATGGACTCGGTCGCGGGGGGTGCAGGTTACGCTGCCTGCCTTGCAACCCGAGCCTTGGGGTTCCCCCTGCCGCCGTTGCCATTCTCCCCTGCCGAGTCGTCTGGGCGACGCCCATCGTTGATGATTTTGCGTATCGTATGGGTGTGCGCGCTTCAGCGCGAGCATCATGCGCCCCAGTTGTGGGGGAAGGTGCGCCGCACGCGTGCAGTGACCGGTTCCTGGGCTTGGCACGGGGGTTGGAGGGCCCTGACCGTTGCTTTGCCCCAGGTTCTCCGTTGTTTACTCTTCCCAGGCGTTGGCTGGGATGCATGCTCATCGTCCTGGCGTTTGCTTCACCAGGGGTGAGCTTTGGGTCTCGGTCTGAGACGCCCGGCTGCATTTGAGCGCGTGCGTATGTGCGTGTCCTGCACGTGTATCAGGCACCCCACTTTGGGGGAAAGTGCGCTGCACGCGTGTCGTCCTGCGCAGTGGGCTTGGTCTGGGGGTTGGGCTTCCTTCTGCGGAGGTGCAGGTTACGCAGCCTGCCTTGAACCCGAGCCTTGGGGTTCCTTCAGCATTTGGTGCCCTTTGCCCTGGCCTTTTTTTTCAGCGGGCGAGGTGGGCCCTTGTGCACGGCTGGGGTGGTCCTCGCGGGCCCCTGGTGTCCGTTGCGCGGGTGCTGCCTGTGGGAGTTTTGGGCTCGGTCGGGGGGGGGGTGCAGGTTACGCTGCCTGCCGTGGGACCCGAGCCTTCGGGTTCCCCCTGCCGCCGTGGCCCTTTTCTCCCCCCCCCCTTTCCCGTTCGGGCAGTGCTTCCCTGGTGCACGGCTTGGTGGCCTCGGGCTGCCTGGCTACCGTTGCGCAGGGGAGCCTGCGAGGGGCTTTGGGCACGGGGGCTGCTGGGTACCAACCGCTCCGACCGTTGCTCACTTCTCCACCTCCCCTCTCAGCGAGGTGGAGGTCCGCCTCCCTGGTCGCAGCGCCGTCCAGGGTCGGCTTTTTGCGCCAGGGAGCGCCCTCTGAGGGTTTCGCCGCCGCTCAGTTGTATTGTGGCTGCATAGCCGTTGGACAAAAATCCTCCTCCTCTTCCTCCTCCTCCTCCTCCTCGTCCTCCTCCTCCTCCTCCTCCTCCTCCTCCACGTCTATTGGCATATCGGGCGAGAACATTGAAGTGCTGTGGGCCTTGGCACAGAGAGTGGCGGCATGGAACTCACGGGGCCTCGACTGGATCCTAGGTGGCGACTGGAATTCCGACATCGATGCGCTCAATGTTCGCAACTGGGTCGAGACCATGGCAGCCGTCCACTACGTGCCCGACCAGCACACCTGCATCACCGATGAAGGCAAGAGCACCATAGACTATTTCGTCGTCTGTGCCAATTTAGCGTCTCGCATCAAGGGCAAGCCAGAGGTTCAGTATGACTCCACGGGCGTGCCGCCGCCGCATTTTCCTGTGGAGCTGCAGCTCATGGGCGAGGATCGCCCCACGTGGTGCCGTGTCCCTGTGGAGCCACGTCCCTTTGCGGTGGTGCCGCCAGTTGGCTGTGCTAGATATCCCTACCCGTGGCACAGGCTTCGGACAGAGTTCCAACGGGTCAGCTGTACTGACGACCTGAGCCCGCTCTGGGACTCCGTGTTGCGAGGGGTGGACTACGAGCTGGCAGGGCGCTACGACTGTGTGGGTGCTAAGGCCATGCAGTACATCGGACGCGAGGGGCCGCCGCAGTTCAAGTGGCAGCACTTGTCATGGCAGCCGCCACGCAGGCGTACCTACAAGGAGCCGACCGTGCTGGCCTGGGCCACGGCGAAGCGATGGGCCCAGCACCTTGTGGCTGAGAAGAAGCGGCTGGTGAGGTACATCGAGCGCCTCAAGCTTTGTGCTGCTGTATGTGACATCACGCCGCTGCAGTACACTAAGGTCGTAGTGGCTTTCAACGAGGTGGCTGCCTTTTATAGGCGCGCGGCTCGGTCAGAGCATGTGCTGTGTGTCTTGGATGCTGCCTTCGCAGGCTTCTTTCGGCGAGGGCTGATCGGCTTGGTCGAGGCTGACTTTGAGGACGTAGCCAAGACCATCATTGCCGCAGCTGACCATCATTTGAGAACGGCACAAAGAGCGGCAGAGAGGGCCTGGAGGCAGTGGGCCAAAGAAGCCTTCCTGGGAGGAGCATCTCGGGCACATTCGTCCTCCAAGGTTCGGGCTCGACAGGAGGTGCTTGCCTACTCCCACGACGCTCAGCCATATCAGATGGCTGACCGCACGCTCGACAAGTGGAAGGACGTTTGGACCTACCACGGGGCGTGTCCTTTGCCGCTGCCTGTCGGTCACGCTCAGTGGCCGTTGCTTCCGCCTTTGACTGCATCGCAGGTGCATGGAGCCATCAGGAGTTTTCCGTTGAAGACGGCCTCGGGCCAGACGAGGATCGCGCCACGCACGCTCGATGTGCTGTCCGACCAGGCCTTGCAGAGCCTGGCCGATATGTTCATGCTGTTTGAGAGTTGGCTGGCCTGGCCCACGGACAGGCTCTACAGCGAGCTTGTTCGCCTGCCCAAGCCTGACGGGGACACTAGGTTGATCGTCCTCAGCAATACTTTCGTCAGGTTGTGGGGAAAGCTACGTCGGGCGCTTTCGGCGGAGTGGCAAGAGACACACAGGTGCGAGCATATGTGGGGGTCAAGGGCTGGGCAGACTTCGACCGATTCAGCCTTCGACCACAACCTGAGCCAGGAGATAGGAGAACTTTTAGGTGAGCACACATGCACCATTCTCCTGGACATGACCAAGTGCTTCGATATGGTCAGTCACAGTGCACTTCTCCGAGAAGCTCGAGAGCTCGGGTACCCGCTGAGGCTCCTGTGGTTGCTCCTGGGCTCCTACCGTCAGCCGAGAAGGATCAAGTGTTTTGGGTCTGTATCTAGGCCCTTGGTGGCCCATCAGGGTATTCTTGCGGGCTGCACGCACGCCGCGTACCTTCTTTACCTCCTCACGTACCGAGCGGTCCAGCGCACGGCCAGTATTGCACCTTCTATCACGCCACGCACGCTCATGGACGATGTGGGTTTGCAGTACGTGTCGCCTGTATTGAGGGAGGTGTCCAACCTGGCCCGTGCGGCCAAGGCGTTTACGTCGGATGCTGGAGATCTTGGGATGGTCCTGAAGCCGCCGAAGTCTGGATGTATCCCTGGGAACCAAAAAGTTTGGGGACAGCTCAAGAGGCACCTGGGAACCTTGAAGATCCCGTACAGGGCCCACATGAGGAATCTGGGACACGAGCTCACAGGACCTCGAGTTCTTCGGCATATGGAGAAGCGTAGGTTGGTGCAGTTTCGAGAGCGCAAGCATCGTTTTCGCATGTTGAAGTCCACCGTGGGGCGGAGTGCTACCAGCCTGTGGCGCACGGGCGCCCTTCCATCAGTGGCGCATGGCGGTGCAGTTGCTGGAGTTAGCGAC